AAAGAGTTTTAAAGTTGAAACTTCAAGCTTTAAAATCCTTTTTTAATTTTGTGTCTACGATTATTTTTCGCCGAGTTTCAGTGGTTTGAAAATAGCCCAATGTTTAGGGTATGAAAAGTGTTCCCTATTTTTTTTTGAGTAGTGTATCTTGTAAAATATTCATTTTTTTATCATCTTACCTTAATACTTTTTTGAACAGAATAGTGATACAAATCAACTGGTGTAAAAAAAACAAACAATTTTGTAACAAGCAATAAAAAAATTTTTTTTATTGATTTGTTGAGCCAGTTGATTTGTATCATTATTCTGTTCAAAAAAGTATTAAGGTAAGATGATAAAAAATGAATATTTTACAAGATATTTTGTAATTTACGTCAAAATATTGGAACTTTCAAACCTTAATAACTCAAAAAGTTCTTAATAAAAAAACACTTTATTAAAGCGTTTTGGAAAGCTCTCGAGTTTAGCTACAAGAATATGCAATAAAAAATAGGGGATGCCATTTAAAAAAATTGGTGTGATCTTTATGTGACCTTCAAATAATTCTTCATGGTCAAACCAATGGTACCGTCTTATGGCCCCCTCGAAACCATACAACTTTTATCTGAAACATTTTTCTCCAGCTGGCTTACCTGACGAAATATTTCCGATTGTCGATTAAAATGGACCACCCTGTATAATTACAAATACAATATTTCTAATGTAAAAGGATATAATAATACATATAATGATAATGAGTAAGAAAGGTGGATACTGTTGGATTACGGTTGAGCGCTAAGCGAGCGACTTTTGTTCGACGCGACGTTCATTTTGGTTTTCTTTTTGGCGAGCGATGAGAGCGCCGGGGCTGCGAGAGCCTACGGGGACAGTTGCACGACGGGCGTCGTCGATGTATGAGTTAATCAATAAAAGTAGCATTTTCTTCAGAGTTATTTCCCGATTTCGACTTATACCCGTGTCTTATACTACAACATTTGGCGACCGTGACAGGACTCGGGAGGTACAGTGGTGTCGATCGTGATATAACAGTTTCGATAGTATCCAAAAGCAATGGATAAAACGAAGAAAGTGCGAACGGCTCACCGTAGCGCCTTCACCAGAGCGCTGAACGCACTGAATGCGTTAAGAGGTGAAGGATCGGAAGCCACGCATCAAGAAATTATAGTGGCCTTTCAATTACTCGAAGCAAAGATGCGAGATTTGGAAGCAAGCTCACAGGCCTTTATGCATCTGATGTTTGATTCGGATAGCGCGACGGATGCAGATATTCAAAAGGAATATGACGACGCAGACCAGTATAAAAAACAGTTCCTCGCAACAAGGCTACAGATAGCTGATTACACCGATCCGAAGGAAAATCAGGAACCATCGGGGAGTACCAACGGCGTACCTGGAGATAACAAGAAGTCGTTCAAGTTACCGAAAATCGAGCTGGCTAAATTCGGTGGAGACGTACAGGGATGGCTACAGTTCTGGAGTTTATTCAAGAAAATTCATGAAGACACGAATATCGCGAATGAAGATAAATTCCAATATCTCATACAATCCATGGTTCCGGACTCTCGTGCCGCCGATTTAGTGAAAAGTTATCCGCCTACGGCCGAGAATTATAGCAAGGTAATCAGCAGCCTGAAGAATCGTTTTGGACGTGATGATCTACAGATCGAAGTATATGTGCGCGAGCTTTTGCAACTCGTTTTACAAAATGCGTTGAAATCCAAGGCGTTTTCCCTCACGAGTTTGTACGATAAAATTGAGTCACATCTAAGAGCGCTCGAATCTCTGGGCGTCACAACGGATAAGTGTGCGGCGATGCTGTTTCCGCTAGTAGAGTCATCGCTGCCGGAAGACGTTTTACGCGCGTGGCAGAGAAGTTCTGTAAACAATGCCGCGTTGCAGAGTGGAGATAGTGTGACGTCTCAGTGCAAGGATCGACTGACGCAACTTATCAAGTTCTTGGAAGGAGAAGTGCAAAACGAACTACGGATTTCGATGGCGGTCAAAGGCTTTGATTTAACAACGGGCAATGCGGATAGTGGGAAAAAGTGAAGATCGAAGACACACACGAAGGAGGAGGATGTCCCGACCGCAATGGGATTGCTGACGACGAAGGAAAAGGATAGTGCGTGTATATTTTGCAATTCCAATCACGAAAGTGCGCGTTGTGAAAATGCCAGGAAAATGAGCCTCTCTGAAAGACGAGATCACGCGAAGAAACAGAACGTTTGTTTTAATTGTTGAAAGGCAGGACATAATTTTAAACAGTGCCGAAGTAAAGTGAACTGTAGCTGGTGTCGATGCGGCATGTGCTTTTGATGTGTCCTAAAATAGAGAAAAAGGACAAGGACAATAAGGTTGATTCTAAATCGCAAGATTCTGAGAAAGCGAATAGTGAGTGTAATCTGGCTAACCTCTCGAGTGATCCGGAAGTGTTAATGCAAACGTTGTGCGTGAAATTGCGGAACGGAAACAAGGAATATATCGTTCGAGCAATTGTCGATACCGGATCTCAGAAATCTTACGTCACCAAGGAAGCGGCCGAGCACCTGGACTACGAGCCAATTGCCGAGCAGACGATGACACACTCCCTCTTCGGTGGACAAAAAACGGACGCGGTGCAACACAAAAAATATCGGATTCGCTTGAGCAGTCTGGACAATAAATATTGCTGTAATTTCATCGCGTTGGACCAGGCTGTTATTTGTGAAATGGCGTCCGGGACCCGCCTACGAATAGGCCCGGGGTATCTCCTGCCTGTCGTAAGAGGCGACTAAAAGGAGAAAATCTGGGAAGCAGGGAAATCCCAGGGGGCGGGTCAGAGGCTGAGGACCTCTGGCTCGCCCGCCCCCACAACACCTAGGGGGCGCGGCGGGGGGCCCGGTGGCACCCCCCGTCGCGACGCGTTCACGCGGTAGAGAACGCTCGATCAAAACGAGCGTAACTCTTGGCTTAGCCAAAGAGCCGAGACGGGCGCGCCAGACAAAGGTGCGCGGCGCCGAACGGGTCCGGATGGAGAATGCGTAGCAGTCCCCGACCCGTTCATCACGGCGCAGAGAAGTCCACCCCCGGTGGTTTTAGTGCGGTAGGCGTCTCCATGGCACTACTGGTCCCATGGGTGTCAACTGCCCAGGGACCAGGGAGACGAGTCCCACACACCCCCCCGTCTCTGTCCCAGCAGGGCGGGGGGACGGTCCATGAGGATTTCCACCGGGTCAAAAAAAAAAAAAAAAAAAAGGCTGTTATTTGTGAAAGAGTACCGCTAATAAAAATCGGAGAGTGGGATCGCGAACTGGAAAAATTCGACATTGATGTGAGTGATCGGCATAGTAAGAGAGAGTCGATTTCAGTGCTCATCGGTGCCGACGTGGCCGGCAAATTGTATTTTATACGGGCCGTGTTTACGTACTGAAAGGCGGCTTAGTTGCCATCGAAACGTGTCTTGGTTGGACAGTTATGGGGAAGGTTCCCGAATCCAAAACAAGTGAGAGTGCCGCGACGACTGCTATATCGCTGTTTATAAACAAGGTAGAGATCGCGGACATGTGGTCGTTGGACGTTCTGGGAATACGCGATCCGATCGAGACGAAAACACAAAAGGAAAAAGATGACGAGATGCAAGAAGCTTTTCTGAAAACCGTGCGAGTTAACGAAGAGGGGCGGTACGAGATACAGTTGCCGTGGTTGCCGAGTCACCCTGCTTTGCCACGTAATAAGGAGACGGCTATGCGTCGGTTGCAGTCTACGGAACGAAAATTGAAGGCCGACAATCTGTATGCGGAGTACGATGCTGTTTTCAACGAATGGCTGGCGGAGGGAATCATCGAGCGTGTCCCGGTGCAAGAAGAAGATGATGGGGGCTATTATCTACCTCACCGACACGTGGTCAAGGAGGGCAGCACGACGAGAATTCGACCGGTGTTCGACGCATCAGCCAAGGAGCGGACGTCGCCATCGCTCAACGAGTGCCTTCATAAGGGTCCAAATTTGATAGAATTGATCGCGTCCATTCTTTTGCGCTTTAGGGAAAATAAAATCGGAGTAATAGCTGATATTAAAAGGGCTTTTTTGCAAATCAGTATCGATAAAAGAGATCGAGATTTCTTGCGTTTCTTATGGTACGATGCAGGAGGAAATATAATTGTTTTTAGACATTGTAGAGTCGTGTTCGGGGTTACCTCGAGTCCCTTTATTCTGAGCGCGATTCTGAACTTTCATTTGAATAATTATGCGAAGTCTGATAACGATGTTTCGATAAATAGTAAAAGATTGTTAGAAAGTTTTTACGTTGACAATTCAGTAACTAGTGTGAATACGCGAGAAGATTTGAATAACTTCATCCTAGACGCAAAAAGACTGATGAACATGGCTGGTTTTGACCTTCGAGGGTGGGAGTATAGCGATGATAATTCCCAAGACAACCAGACAGTAGTATTAGGCGTTACCTGGGATAAAAAGGCTGACACGTTAGCGATAAAAATACCAGATTTTCCAGAGTTACACGCTTCGAAAATGACGAAAAGAAAGATTCTTTCGGCGGCGCACCGTATTTTTGATCCATTAGGTTTTGTATGTCCTGTTATGCTGTGCCCACGAATTCTGTTACAGGAAACCTGGAGTGAAAATTTAAAGTGGGATGATGAAGTTCCAGACAAGTTAAAGAATAGATTTACGAAGTGGTTGGAAGATTTGAAGGAGCTTAATAAGATTAGAATTACACGATGTATTTTGGGACAAATATCTGAGTCGGATAACGTAAGTTTGCACATATTCTGTGATGCTAGTAAAGACGCGTATGCCACAGTTATTTACATTCGCGTGGAAAATTTTGAGGGTGTAAAGGTTCACTTTGTACAAGCGAAAACGCGAGTTGCGCCTGCTAGAAAAGGTAATACGGATGCGCGAACCAGTATACCGCGTTTGGAGTTGTTAGCAGCGACAATAGGCGCCAGATTAGCGAGAAATGTATTAGATGCGCTTCATTTTAAAACGCTTAAACTCTTTTATTGGACCGACTCCTCGACTGTGTTAGCATGGATCCAAAGAGAATGTAATTGGGCAACGTTTGTGTATAACCGAATAAAAGAGATACGTATGCTATCGGATCCCGCGTGTTGGTATCATGTACAGGGTCGTTTGAATCCCGCAGACTTACCATCGAGAGGATGTACGGCGAAACAAATTATGTCTGCGAGATGGTGGGAGGGACCCGTGTGGCTATATGAGACGGCAGATAAATGGCCAATGTGTAGAGAATTGTCGTGCGATGAAGACGAAATCAGTAAAGAGTTAAAAAGAACCGCGATAAACAAAAAATCTGTTTGTACTCTCGTAGCGTTAGAAGGAAAGGGTGCGGAAGAGAACGAATTTCTCAGTAGATTTTCTAACTTTGCAAAAATGATAAGAGTGTTTGCGTATGTACGACGATTTTATTGTAACTGTCGAGAGAAAAAAGAGAGTCGTATTAGGGATGCTCTTCTGTGTAAAGAAATTCAAACGTCACGTACTCTGTTATTAAAA